AGAACGCGCGGTGTTTTCACGATGGATCAAGCGCGGCGCACCATCTGTATGAGCCACGTGTTTTTGCAGCAGCAAAGTCTGCACCTTCCGGCGAAGACGCAGACACGCGAAATATACCGCCGCGCCGCCGCGGTGTTTCTTCGCCGTAGTTTAACTAATGTGGGAAATTATCAAGGTTAATGCCGGCTACTTGCATAGTCGTAAATTCGCGCGCGCGCGCGACTTTTACGATCGAGAAATATTTTCCACGTTGAAACAGGACGCCACCCGCGGAGTCTCTTCTCGGGCGAGTTCCGGCGGAGTATCTTTCGCTCTCATTCTCACTCGCGCGCGAGGATAAAGCCACGCCACGCGCGCTGCATCGAAATGCAAATGCGTGCGATTGCGATACGCGTAATAGGTCCAATACCAGCGAAATCGAATCTCTCCCATTCTAGGCTCTTAATCCGCCTAGTCTCTCACAATTATCCGCCATTATATTTTACGGTCGTCCGGTCGCGTCGTGATCTGACTCAACGCGCGCGAGTCTCTCGGCGCGGAGAACGCACGCTGCATCTCGGCACGCCTGTCAAAGCGCACGTACGCGTATCATCAATAATGCGGCGATGATTCGTACGGGCGTTTGAATTATTGACGGAACACGGTGAATGGAACGGATCACGAAGGATCATGATCCTAATGCCTCGCGCGGCGCGGCGCGGCGCGGCGACGCCGGACTGCGAAAGTCATGCCAATCCGAAAATGAATTCCCCTATTGACGCTCGCGCAAGCTCGCGCGTGATGTCGCTTTACGGGCTCGACAAAGTGCGCAGAGCGCCTCCGATAAATCGCCGTGAGTCAACGTTTGTCGCTAATTAAAAGAGGCGCGCACACTCGACCTTTAATAGCTTTCATTAGGACTTCATTATGTCCGCGCGAGTTGCATTCATGCGTTTTACCCAGATTATTTTCGCAGTAACATTGTACTCGCGCGATATTAATATAATACTTACGCAATATATATTTGACAAATTTTTCGATATAAAAATCTCTCTCTCTCTCTCTCTCTCTCTCCCGATTTATCTCAATGCGCTAATAAAGTTTAATATATTTTACAAGGGCTTGATTTTCTGTTCGCGTTATATTCACATCATTTCCAGGTAATATCTGTGATCAATATTGCAGCATCCGCGCGACATCTCGCTCGTATCTTTTGATGTGAAATTTTTTGCACTAGTTTTTTTTCTCCAATCTGTAAACGATAATTGAATTAACCGCACTTCGTCGAGAGTGTCTAGTGCTTTTTAGCCGAGGCCGAAGTTCCAGCACGAAAAGCGTTTTTCTCTGGAGAAAATGCTAATGACAACACACGAGTTTGCTCTTCGCGCGGGCGTAATGCATAAACGCTTCCACGCGTGAGCTCATGCACCTTGATTCGCAATAAATCGCTCCAGAGCGATGAATCCTTCGTGTTAATCTGCGCATGAGACGCGGCGCGTAATTAACGTTCATTCATGCCCACCGCCCGCACACGGAGCACCAGCACGGCGCTTGTCGGGAAACTGTGTGAGCTCACACGACGTGTCCTGCGAGGTTTTTCTAATCGCCGTCGGTTTTCCACGTTCGTTTATCGTTAACGCTGGTGTCCGTGCGATAACTCAGGCATCAAAAGGAAACGGCCGAAATTGTTTTGACGCTCTCACGATAACGTATACGTTTTTTATGCGCGTATCGATGGATCCTCTAGGTTGTCTTGACCTATTTTGTATGACTTATAATTTAGGTATCAAAAGGTACATCTTCGTAAACGTGACAATGGACCATCTTTTCTCAGCTGCAGCTTCATCACTTAATAAATAGCAACACGGTGCATTCAAAGCATCTTTTCATGCCGTTCAGAATTTGAACGATTCGTCTTTAAAATCGATGTAAAATTAATCGCGTCGAATTGAGGTTTGAGAGGTGTGTTAAGATTTTATTTATACCTTCTTAAAAATACGTAGTCGTGGAGAAAATATTGCTTCTTTCTTAGCTTCATAATTTACTTTCATAAATATTTCCTCGCAAATTTCATAATCTGAAAGATATTCACGATTCGAGTCAATCGCGTCGAGTTTTCCAAATTTATCGCTGTTCTTGCTATGCTCGTAAAAGGAATACGCTGTACATCGATGATATATGATCCTTATTTGGAGCTTCCTTGCGATACATCCGAATCTCATGAAGATCGAAGGGAAACAATCGCGACCTTTCCCTCCTCCAATGCGCGCTTCCGCGAGATGCGCTTTCGCTCGGCCGTACTTTCGAGCCAAACAGCAGCCGGAAATATAACGCGCGCACCTCGACACTTCCTTCGGACGCGCGTTGCACCGTGTCTTCCGGTTCGCACCGCTCTCGCTCGTCCATTCATACGAATTAACGGGCCCTCGTAAATTGTACGAGGCGAGCGGCGCAGCGCGTCGCGTCCGCCGCAATTAAGCGCGATTGTGCCGCCCAGAGAGTCATTCGTTCGTCATCGCGCGCAATGAATTCGTGTCATGACAGAAGATGTCGGCCGGATTAGGCCGCGAGCCGAATTGAGAGAATGACCGAACGCGCGCGCGAGCCGCGACTTCGCCGTCTAGCCGCGCGACAAATTGATATTAACCGAGGAATTACGCGCCGCCGCCTAGCCGCTCATCTCGCTGTCTCGGAACTTTATCGAGACCGGCCTGTAAATTGAAGTCTCCGTCACGCGGGGACTGCGGAGGACAAGTTTTCTAATCTGCGAGCACAGGTCGCTCAGAGAAATTTTCTAACTTTCATCAGGCGTGCGCGCGCGCGCGCGCGCGGAGCGGAGCGGAGCGGAGCGGAGAGAGTGACGCGCTGAGTGTTATATGGATGTGCGGCGGGGTGCGTTACGTTGTAGCACTCGTTAACGGCAGGTTCCTTTGATGAATTCGACTCGGCTGTGCTCGGGTGGGCGGAAATTTCACGAGAAATGTAGCCAGAGAGAGAGAGAGAGAGCTTTTCTTTTTCTCTCTTTTGTCATCGGGAACTGAAGAGTTCCCGATGACATGCGTCGTCACGTCGGCGAGAAATCTCGTTTCCCCAGTTATTTCCAAATATTGTTTTCAGGGGATTCTAGCGAGAGTAAGACCAAGAGATTGCGGGTTGTGTGGATTGTACAATGAGTACACGCGTGACTATAATGGTCACGCTCTGTGTTGACGGACCTAACGTTCCTATCAAGGAAATAACGCATTCGCCGGTTATCAAAATGCGTCCCGATATTTCGACAGATGCACGCGCGCACCTCCACAACGCCGGATGAATCCTCTTTTGAATTTATTAATTTAAAATAATCCTATTAACTTTCCGATAATTCATAACCGTGTAAATTGCCTCACTTTCCATTATAAATAAGCCGGGGCCACGGAAAAGCGCCTGCATTATAACGATTTGTAATTATAATTACATTATATTATATATATAAATTATAATTATGAAATAAAAAATGCTCTCTCCCTCTCTTTCGTTTTATCAAGTTGAGAGAGCTCTCAACTATCACTTCGCCTATTCTCTTTACTTATGTTTCTCTTTATCGGACATCAAGCTCGACTCAATGACATTCTTACATGAGCAAAATTTAAGCTGCGACGAGTGATGCGTTTGAATGTGGTGCCTTGGAAAGACAAATTCCTATTTACTATCAAATTTAATGCAGATTTGCGGGATAAATTTTCTCAGAGTGTTACATAGGACGAAACAAGCGCGTACGATATGAATAGGACGAGACGCGATTTCGAAGAAAATATATGAAACGATAGTCGTATCGTGGCAGTGAAAAATTCCGTGAAAAATTCCGCGTGATCACGACTTTGCAACGGGTTATCGAGAATACTCGCGTTTTTCTGGCGATGCTGCCCGCGATGTTCCCGACGATCGATTTAGAAGCGTAAATACAAAAATAGCGAGATCTAATAATAATTTCACGACGCACTCTCGAGTTCGCAAACATAAAGCGCTGAGTCTGTTTGACTTCGTCCCGCCGACGTTTCATCAAAAATTACAAAGTTCTTTTTTAACGCTCGTTCGTTATACGACTCGACTTTCATGACTGTCTGTCAAAAATCCGACCTGTCGATCAGATAGAGTACGAACCTGGAGAGCCTGCGACGGAATCGTTAAATTAATGACAACGCTGTATCACAATTACGGCATGATAATCATGAGAACAAACTTTTCCATCGGGTTGCACGCTTATTTGCTCGCGAGACTAATTATATTCTATTGTATACGCGCGTGCACACGCGCGGGTAACTCTATCCAACTTTACGAAACTTCGATACACTTAAGTTGTTTGTTCGATATAATTGGTTCGTACGTTGAAACTAAAGCTAATCTCTTGCAATAAGCCGTGCACTTATCGCATCGCCCGATTGCGCTCACACGTTTCTTTCCGCACGATCGTCGTTATTCTCGTTAAATTCACGTTAAAATTGCAAAACGCCGATGTCGATGAACTCCGTTAACACTATAATGGTCCGCTGTGTTAGCGGATATTCAGTAGAACGGTATCTTTCGCGTATCTCATGTATCATCTTGTGTGTGCGTGTGCAAAATGAAAATTAGCATTTCCGAAGGAAAACCAAAGGCGAACACGGATTCTTGCCTCGCGAAGTGTACATGTCGACGGTACTAACTGAAATTAAATAAATTAAGTGTAGGCTTGACGTGACTTAAAGAAGCACAAATCTTACGGCACAAATATGTATCGCACGCGTCATCTCGTGTACAAACGAAGGTAAGAAAATGAATCGAAGGCGGACGCGGAATTTTTTCTCGTGAAATGTGCACGTCTCGTTGGTATCAACCGAAATGAAATCCCAAGTGCAGGCTCACACGGCGCAAAAAGCAGCGGTATAAACCGTCCTAGTTGGTTTCAAGTGTTAAGAAATGCGTGATATCGCTGATGTGTCTCGAAGCGCCGGATGCTTCCGGGGCGAGCTCTCGCTCGAGGCGATCGGTTCGGTACTCACGAATATCGAGTTGTAGGTCTTGTCGTAGAAGACGATGGGCGTTTGGAGGGTCGCCTCGGCGGACATCAGCATCCCATTGGGGTCGGTCTCGAGGACGTAAGCGCCAGGACCCGTGTATGGGTACAGGTCGTTCCTGGATAAGGCCGCGGTGAAGGGCGCGATCAGGCCCGCGACAGCCAGCAGGCCCAGCAGAACGCTCCAGCGTGCCATTCTGTCGGACTGCCTTAACGCTACTGCTGATCGACTTGGCCACGACGTCTCTTCTTGCCGCCCCCTAATCGCCTTTGCCCACCGCTGCCCCGCGGAGCGGAGTTCCGAGCACATGAAACGCCACGCTCTCGCTTCCCGCGCTCGCTGATAATTTCGTGACACCGCTCGAGCCCCGCTTCGTTAATAGGCTTAATGTGCAATCGGTTATATCTTGAACGTGGTTTCTCTTCTTTCTTTCTCTCTCTCTCTCTCTCTCTCTCTCTCTCGTTCTTCATATCTTTACTCCCGAGTTGCTCTTACTTCTATGATTTCGCGAAAGTTAATAGATCCACATGGTCTGCCTCGGATATCTCACTTCATATCTTACTACGTAATATTGTAAACTCTAAGGGGTAATCGAACCCCACAGTGTTAATAAACTCTGCTCTATTCTCTGTCCCCCCCCTCTCTCTCTCTCTCTCTCTTCGTCTTTCTCTTTCCCTCTGGTCATCTACAAGCCGCCGGCGCCGCACGATGATCGCTATTTGACGCAACATGCATGTCGACGGTGCGTTGCATATGACTTCGCGAGTAAATCTCGCGGACAGATCGGAGCAGAGGCAGTTTCGAGGTATTTCGACTTGCTATACCGACACGTGCGAACTTCGTAGTGCATCCTCGCTATGCATCGGTGGAAAACTCTTCACCGGTGGAATCTCGTCACGATTCGATCGAGCTGGATATAAGTAACGTTCGTATAAGCTCACAAAGTTCCATGGAGGCGGGGTTATCTTATACGACGATCGTGTTGCGCGATTATGACTGCTGCTTATTATTTAAGTATACACTTCAATCGCCAATTACCATTGATTTTCCAAATAAAGGGCCGAGCGTCCCCTTCATTTACGGAGGTAAACTTTCGGCGCTCGTCTGATCGGAAGATGATCTGATTTGTCAGAGTGTAATTATGCGGAAGGAGAATTACGCGTGTTAATGTGTTAAATATCTTGTTGCGAGGATGCGAATGTTATTGATGTGTTTCGCGTGGGCGGAATTGCAAAATAAAAATAATCAGGGGAGTTGATTCGCGTTATTCCGCGGAATATCGCAAGCATCGATAATAGGCAAGAATATGGTTTCGACATTTGCATATCTGTTCGACGTGCGAACGAACAATAGGTCGTGATACGGCGCTGTGATACGGCTCGTGATTTCGGCGATAGATTTGTAAATTATGCGGCGCGCACATGTGCGCGATGAAATTGCACGTATCCATCCGGGATAGGCACCATTCGTGTACCACGAATACTCGCGTACTCTCGTCGTGCATGAAACCGCCGTTGCTCCAATTGCATCTTCGAGCGTCTTATTCAGATGCCAAGGTTACGCGATACATTATAATCAGCGCGCGGATTTCGCGAAGTTCATTGCGCGATCATAATCGTATTTTATCCGACGACTGTGTGCGATATGACACGACGACGGTTGAAATGCAAGGTTGTGTAATTGCGCGATTTAGCCCACGACTGTAAACCTGAATGCTTGACATATACACGCGCATACCGTTGTTTTTGAGTGTCGATTCGCCTTTCGACTTTGCGTCGCGACTTTGCGCCTCGCGTTTAAAATTCATCTATTCTGCGAATGGAATACTTTTCCTCATCTGTATTTTATTCTACGAACTTTTCTCATTTCTATTATTTCTATTCATCATTTCCATCGCACGGAAATATTCATTTTTATCATTTCGCACGGACATTTTTCGATTAATTGTACAACAAAGTTAATGAGAAAAATATTTTTCCTCGAATCTAAAGTCGCACCGCATCTCGAGTTGTTGAATCGTGAGAAGAATTAACCTTACATGAATTTTATTCCCGAAAATTTACTTTATATCAATTTTACAAAAAAGGATATATTCTCTGCATCGATTTTACTTAAAAGAGTTATGTTTTACACAAGTTTTACTCAAACAATTCAATTCACTCGATATGCTAATTTTATTATCAGCGGAAAATTCAATGCTAAGACAATAGCATAATTAATTAGTCTTGCTGGAGGTAAAGTTACTTTTAAGAATTTCAAGTTTCAACTTCTAACAGAGTTCTTGTTTTTCACACACGTTGCATTATTATTATATCCTCGCTCATCCGTCGTCGTCAATTTCTCCGAGACGGCACGCGATTCGTCTCGACGAGCGTGTTCGTTTCTGCGCAAAGTCGCGTGTGGTTTCGCGTTGTGAAACAAAGTACCGGCGTCGACAGACAAACGGAGGTGGACCTACATTGGCGACGTCTAGAATTGCATCGTGGCCTAGAACGTCCCAATAAACTGCCTCAGGAATTCGTCAGGGTCGCTCTCCTTCCAGACGGTATGCGGGCCGTTTATTTTGAAAGCAGCCTGAGTCGCAGCGCAAAAAACAATGAATTCGGACAACTTTTTCGACCTGTCACTGCCGTGTCGCGTTACGGCGTGAAGGGACAGGAGGTCGCGCGTAATTATGTCTTCGCAGTGATCCTTCCCTTGCGATCCTGCAACAGCTGGAAATTTACGGCTGGAGCAAGCAGGACGGAAGATGAGTCACGATGCACGTTGTAAATTGATCTTTATTACAAGAAATTACATGACTAATTTGTACATATAAAATATAAATATAGTACAAGTACTATGATACAGAGACGCGTGTTTTCCAGTGGAAAAAGTGGAAGTAGGTCGCTAGTTACAATTAATAATTACTATCACTATAATTCGTTATTATTACTGTTGTATTCACGGCAGACGGACTGACACGCTCTTGGCAATGCTTTCAACTCAGACTGAATTCGGACACGCGACGATAGACAAACGAAATATCACATACACGAATGAACATTCTACGCGATACAAACCATAACGGGTGTCCTCCGCGATGTTTAAGAAGGCGGGAAAACGATTCGCCTCCCGGAAATCAATTTCGTTTGGGAAGACTGGCGAAACAAAAAGCTACGTCTTTAATTAGAATAATCATCGTAGCCGATCAACAGTTCGAGTAATCAATTAGCACGAAAAGTCGTCAATTGTAACAACTCTCTCTCTCTCTCTCTCTCTCTCTCTCTCTCTCTCTCTCGCGAATGGACGAACAGAAAAACAACCCGTTCAACATTACCGGGCACTCATTCTCAAGGGAGAACGAGCCCGACGGATAAAGCAATGACGACGGTTTCGGCGGCGAACTTACATGTTTGGTCGTCGATGAGTGAGACACGGAGAAATGAGCGTAGAGGGTCCTTTTTCTTTCTTAATAACGCGGGACGACAAGAAGGAGTCACTTGGCTCGTTACTTTCCACTCGTGGGCGACGCCGAATCTGGCGCCAATCCACGAGCCCGTGAAAACGACGATCATGTCTTTGGCTTATACTTGCATCTCGCATTTAGCTCCAAATGCGACTACATAATTTTTCATTCCTATTATGAGGGGGCTCGTATGTATGGTCACAGTGTAGTATCATTGTATAACAATACGGAGTGCACAATCATTAGAGCTATGAACGAACTAAAATCCAGCATCAGAGACGCCTGCATTCGATGCTTAACGCGGGACGCAAATACGGATCCGTGAATGTATGACGACCAGTCGCGTGTTACTGTGTGTGACTCACATCAGTACTGTTTACAGGGGATGCGTGTATGTGTGTATGTTGTGTGCATGTACGTGTGTATGTGTGTGTGTGTGTGTGTGTGTGCACGCGCGTGTACGCGTTTATATATTCATATACATATACGTGTGTATCATGCATAAACGAACCTGAAGGTATAACAGTTCGGGACGAGAGAAACGGATGGTTCTCCATCGATATTAGCCGTTGGTCCACCACGACTCGCATCAGAAAACTAGAATACCTCTATTTCTGCTTCGCATTACTCCCATACCGATTTATTTTCATCCCATCTATTTTCATTCTCCCCGACCTCATCCCCGCCCGTGTGCTCACCCTATCCGCGTTCTCTCTCTCTTCGCATAACATTCTCACATTGGAAACAAGTCCGGGCTCTTCTCTCTCTCTCTCTCTCTCTCTCTCTCTCGTTCGCTCGCTCGCTTCATTTTCTCCCCTCGTCTTCCCTCTCGTCGAGTTTCAATGGCGCTCGCATTAACCGAATGTCTCTTACGATTAGCAAAAGTTTACGATTTATAGTTATTCCCATTTCTCTTCTCCGATCCTCTCCGCGCTCTGTTTCTTCTTCTCTCGCTCTCGCGACGCCACATCTCTTTCTCCTTCGCTCTCTCATTCTCATTCTCTCTCATACATTCTTTTGCTTTCGTTCACGCTCTCATCGGAAGGACTCGCGTCTCGCTCTCTCTCCTTCCCTCCCTCCCTCCCTCCCTCTCTTCCTCTCTTTCTAAGTGAGTTACAGAGCCCTACGAAGTGCGGTAACTGCTGATAACGATTAAAGCTACGATAATACCATGAATTAACGTGCGTGCATTAGATACATTACGTACGGCGCGTTTCGTTAATCAATTGATCGTTAATCGTATAAAAGACTTCTTTCTTTTTCTTCACGCTTTTGGCAGTGCGTTGCTCGCTCGCTCGCGGCAAACTGTTCTCCCCGTTTCGCCCACGTCCAGTTTCCCCTCCGTACCGAAGCTCGATTTTCCCATAAACAAATTTGCATCTACTTCTAATATCCTAACTTCCATCGTTACGAGTCATTTCCACCGGTAATCCAGATTAATTAACGCCGCACGGCGCCTGATTTCCACCCTGGACTACTACAGTTCTAGCGATAACATGGATAGAGAAGGGAAATTTCATCAACCGTGGCCAACTGTGCCACTGAAAAATCGCGGCCGATCCCGATTGTCGATGATGAACGATCGGCGCTCTATGAGTAGCGAAGGTAACTGATTCGTAATCATTCACGATCTGCTTTCTCGATTTCCACTCGACTGTCTTCCCCAGTCAGCGGTCGATCGTTACTCTTCTCGCTTGACGGTTACGAATATCGACGCGTGTCGTATTGTTTCTAAATTGAGATGAATATCTCTCTAGCCTACCGCGACGGCTTTGTCGGTTTGTTTTGTTCGTCGCTGTTCCCGCTGAATACGCAGTATTCGGCCGGTCGGCCGGCAGTCTTAACATCCCCTCGAAAATCTCCCCTTATAGCTTACTAATGGCATCAGTCGGACACACACGATGGCAGTCACAGTGATTTTTAAATGGCTCTCTGACGAATAATAGACGCAAGAACAAAGCACCAACTCTCTCACGTTGAACCATTAATGCCGATACAAACGCAGCGCGGAACGCGTGGTTCGTGTCGCTGTGTATTTAACAATCGCGATAATTGCCTAACATCATCACCGTCCTACATCCTGAGAAACATCGTTGAAACTGAAGCGATCGCAAAATTCTCTCGTTCTCTCCCCATCCCCCCCTCTCTCTCTCTCTCTCTCTCTCTGTTTCTCTCTCTCTCTCTCTCTCTCTAACACGAATACACCTTTTGCCGATATAAATTCTTATAACCTCGATAAGACACGTGCGTGTGCGTGTACGTGTGCGATACTTCTGTGAAAATCATTATCTTAGGCTCTTATATACTCCTCATTTAATCTTGCCGGTACCGTTTAGGCTTAACAATTAGTTGACGACGTACGATGACGATGACGATACCACAATATCATTAACAACTACTGGACGGAGTCGAGCGACATCGACGCCATTCCCCGTTAATTCACTCCACTCGGCGACCTCGCTCGTCTCGTTTCAACGATTAAATTCGTAGGTGGGTGGGCGGGATCGGTGATCAACACGCGGTCGTGCGTGCTGATCGGAGTCTACGTTAGGTGCTTTTTATTTCAGCCGATGTCACGGCATGCCGAACGTACTGTTGCTGAGGGCAGGAGTCGAAGCAGGTGACCAGAAGAACGTGGCTCTTACAGGCCTCCACCCTCTTTTGCAGGATGCACGTCTCGGCCGTCAGAGCTTCTAAGAATGACGGATCCCGCCAGTCCATACTGTCCTCCACGTGCACTGTTTCAACAAACGCAGCGAAACGTGTTCGTAAGCGCGTGCCATTAACTGAAGTGTGCCGATATAAAACTTCGCAATTGTCCGTGCGAGTGTGAATGGAACGCTAATGATGGATTCAACGACACGGATAAATAAATTAAATTTTCTGCACCGCATCCAAGGAACAGGACGAAAGATTGTGAACGACGAAGATAACGGTTGATAGTTTCATTTACACGACGGAATTATTTTGAAAGCTATGAGGACAGAAAACAGAAGGAAGAATTATTTCATTCGCGCGCTGGTGCGGCATTTTAACCCTTTCACTGCTGAATTAACTTCCCTTGAGAAAATTATTAAAATATTTGATAGTCCTACCGTGTTTCGCTGTCACTGATTACGAATCTAAAGTCAGATTTGCAAAATTCAAAACGGCGGACTCTATATGGCGATCGTGATGTACAAAATTAATGAAAATTTCAATTATTATTAAATAATGACCAGGTCGTAATAAGAACATATGATTCTAGACGATGGAACTCGATCGAGCTGGAAAAAATTTATACTTACTAGACATTCATTTCTGAATAAAATAATATTGATAGTATAGATAAGAGATGGAGATACAGAATGAAAAGACTAGGAAGATAGAGCTAAAAAATGCCAAAAATCAAATCACGGCCGTTTTTGTAGAAATATTTGTTTATAAAAAAAAATCTAACCTGCAAAAAAATACTGAAAAAAATATATGTTTTTGTACAACATCAGAAAAATATTTGGTGAAAATTTCAGACCTCTACATTCAATACTCTCCGAGGAATCGATTTTTCCCTAAAAAAAGCATTTTTTTTCAAATTTGATTTGTTATAAATAATCACGAGTGAATAATTGGGTATAAAAGCCTATTGGAGTATGTTGAACAACTATTCAGTTATCTGGAAAACTCGAATCTCCGATTAGTTCTTCAAAATTACGTGATTTACAACGCAAAATTGCATCAAGAAAAGGTGGGAAGTATATTTCCCACTAACAGTGAAAGGGTTAAATATCAGATATCTCTGCCCGCTTTATTTGAGACCAGTGTCAAAGTCTGGCCAAAGTGATCGGATTATTGTCACGCGAAATTTCCACACGGAGGGAAACGATTGATTGAATGAACCGGCGTTAATTCAATTCAATTCATTCTATCCGTTCAACTATTCGCGTCTGCCGTGATCGCGGACGAGCGGAACTTACGATCGTAACTCCAGCGAGTGTCGGGCACCATTAGGCGCCTTTTAGCGTCGCGCAGTTCCAGCCTAAGAAGGCGCTGGCGCAGGCGAAGGCTGTGTATCCTGGACATCGTGCCACGTGGATCCGAGCGCAGCCGCGCGCGCCTGTCCAGGATGTCCACGTCCTCGCCTGTGTATGCGAGAATCCCCGCCGCCGCGGGCGGCCCCGGCTGGGCCCGGCAGTGGGCCCGCGACCGCCGTGGCCCGTACCCTGCCGCCCGCCGTTCCACCGCTGAAACACCCGCACAACGTCGAAGTTAGAACTCCCAGCGCGCCACCTGAGGAGAATCACCGTACGGCGGGGTCGTTTTAGAGGGTCTGCGTATCCTTTCTAGGAATGCGAAGGATCCGAGCAATGTTTTTGTGCTTTGGATACTTGGCTTTACGTAAGACGGCACTTTTGCATCAGCGAGCCGAGAAAGAGAGACAGCGACAGAGACAGAGAATAGACAGCGGCAGATTAGTTCGGCTACAGTGGGATAAATAACGATTGTTACGGAGCGAGAAAGTTCTCATGCGAAGCGGACTGGAATAATCGACTAAATACAACGACAGCGTGTACGGAAGAGTGGAGGGATTTCTCGGGTTGTTTCCAACGTTCTACTCGTGACGGAAGCAGTTTCGCCAGGCGCTACAGCGATTCCATTTCAGGAGAATAGAGAACGAACAAGTCGAGAAATAAAGCTCCGATGAAGTAGAAATAAAGTAACGAGAGAAGGATCTTTAAGAACTGCTCACGGGTAATATAGCGTTCTCGAGCTTTATTAACGCACGTCCACACAAAAGTGGAGACGATTTGTTAGAATTCAGATATTTCGGTTCTATTCGGAAATAAAATGAAGGAGTACGGGGCTAAAGTTGGTTAAATGAAAATTAAACACACAGCGTGTGTCAGGAAAGCAAAACAAATTAGCTGCTGGGGATTCTTGTCTTGTACGTATCTTGACGCTGTGTGTCTGTTTAATTTTTATTTCATCGACTTTAGCCAGTTCCGTTTGCTTTTATTTTTTATGATTATTCTATCAGATCAGATCGAAACGTCTGAATTTTAACAAATCGTCTCCGTTTTTCTGTAGACGTAAATTAATAAAGTTCGACAGCGCTATGTCACGCGTGCAGCCCTTAAAGGTCCTTCGTTATTTTATTCGAACATAGAACGATTTATACTTTAGGATATACCTATGACGTCATACTTTAGGATGTCTGACGATACATATAAATATCTCGTGTATGTGTAGATGAGGTAATACTGAACAAAAAAATCCTCTACCATTTTATGAACAATCATGTACAATTTTAATGCTATTAGTTAACCTTTAAAGGCTAACATAGGTGAAATTTCATCCCACGCGAATTTTTGATCTTATTAAAAAACGTAATCACACTGACAATACTAGTTTTATAGCTGTTTATTCACATCAGAAGTTTACGATAAAACAGATCAATTCTCGCGTATACTTTGCTATAAACAAGAAAGATTAGCTTGGGGTATATTTGATGGTAACTTTTAAGGGTTAAAGATTACCGGATGATCACGTACGGTAAAAAAAAAAGTTCTTCAATTAATAACTAAAAATCTACGTAGTTATATGCAAAATGATACAAGACTGTTTTGTTCAATTTGACTAAATTTGCCATCATTTTGAGTTAATTTACACGACGGCAAGACACACACACACACACACACACAGCTCATCCGTTATATCGCGCGTGATCACCTGGCAATTTCCTTCAACTAATAGCATAAAATTTTACGTGGTTGCTCGCAAAACGATAGAGGAATTTTTGTTCAATTTAACTTAATCTACACGAGAGATTTGTTATGTTATTGTACGAGGGATTGTATGTTATTGTCAGACATCCTCTGTACACATTAGCAGAAGTAAGCAGTTCCGTTAGCTGGGAGAAGACAGCCGCGCGCAATCGCAAGCCAAGAGAGGTGGTTGACGTGTACCTTGATGCTCCTGCAACGCGCCAGTTTGTCGGGACGAATCGCTGGCAATGCTGCTCGTCTCGCTGTCCCTGACGATACTGTCGTAACCGGAGCTCTCGGCGCGATGTCTGGACAGCGTAGCCGGTGACAGTTTGGCCGCGCGCGGGGTCGAGTCCGCGCCGGAATCGGAGCCTTCCTTGTTCAGGCCGAAAGAGGAGCCGAGGCTGAGTATCTTGCGCTGCATTCGTCCGGAGGACGGCGCCGGAGACGGCATGGGCAGTTGCAAAGGCGCTGCGCCTGAAATATAAAACAGTCCGCAAATACATTACAGGATATCGTCGCTCTCGCTGCTCGACTGCGCTTCGCCTACGTCGATCAATTGATGACTTCAAAATCGAACATTACGAGATCGAACTTCGGTCAACGCGAATTTTGAAAATCCGACGTTGCCGACGGCAAAGTGCACACTAAAAAAATTTATAGAAAACATTATCGTGAAAGTTTTTCTAACCGAGTAACGTATCGGGATTTTGCCTTAATTTATTATTTTTTTATTTTTGATAATTTATTACTTATTATTTTGCTTCATACGTTGACTATGTTGCAAGATTAACTCGATTGGAACTCCTACAGTATTAGAAAGCATGGCAACATTCAAAAGAACGTTATATGAAAAGAGAGAATGGAAGAGCATTAAAAAGTTTATAGTAAAAATTATTGTAGAAGTTTTTCTAACCGAGGAACATATCGAGATTTTGCCTTTTACTTTTTTATTTTTGATAATTTATTATTTATTTTATTTTGATAATTTATTACTTATTATTTTGCTTTATACGTTGACTATGTTGCTTAGCAAGATGAACCTTATTGACGATATATTCTTGCACTAGCGGAAAATATGGTAAAATTGAAAAGAATGTTGTATAAAAAAAGAGAGTTAAGGGCACTATATTTCTCCCCGCGCTCAAAAGCGCCGCAAGTGTCGTTTGGAATTCATCATCACTGGATCGGTTCGTACCTTGAATCTTCAAATCTTCCTCAATGTCGGACTTTCCCGTAACCGTTCTTTCGGACCTCTCAGCAGCTGTGAACAGCTTCTTCGCCTCGATGTACTCCTCTTCAGGATCCGAGCCGGACGCTCCGTTTCCGGGTATCCTCTCGATCTCCTCCTTGAGATTGGGGTTCGAAGCGCCATCCGGGTGCCTGAGACTGGAGATGTTGCAGTCGCCCAACTTGCCGCAGTACCTCCTGGGGCTGGCGAGGTGGGCGACGCTGCTCGGATACCAGTAAGAGGCCGTGGCCGGCCTAGACATACTCTGACGGCAATTATCGCAGATCTTCTCCTGATCGGACTTGCCAGCTATGTACGCGGGTTCGCTGTAGATGCTGCCGTGATTGCTCGCGTTGTCGTTGAATAACACATCCGAAAGGGACAAGGACTGACACCGAGACGGCGGACGGAAGACGGTCGCTGCTGGAATTTGTCCTGCGTTAATGTTATACTGGATGTAAACCGCAGGTAGCGTGCTGTAGTGCCTCATGAATGAAAATCTACGTCTCGTCCGATGGCGATTTCATGTCCCTGACTAATCGGCAGATCCTGATTAAGAACTTTCCTTCGCGAATCAACTTCTTTTCTTGATATCGCCGCGAGACTCTCCGCGAACTTTCGCCTTTCGACAACCTCATAGAGCAAACGCGAGTTTTCAAAGTGTTGTCGCTCGCAAAAATTCGAGAGTGAGTTGAAATTTGACGGAAAATCCTTCCAACGTGCGCGACATGACGGTATCGGGCATCGCGAAGAACGGATTGCAAAAGTCGCATGTACGACACGGGGTAATCCTGACGAGTGCGCGACAGACAATGTCTGTCTCCAACCGGCGCGGCGGCAAGAGGAATCCTGCTCACGCCTTTCTTTTTGCTCCGTGTGATTGACCGAGCGTCCGACCGCGGAAGCTTGGCGAAACTTACATGGAGCGTCTCGCACGTTGACGGTGGAAGAGTTCTCCCTCTGATAAGTCACGGAGTTGGAAACATTGGCGAGCGCGAGTTTGCTCTGGTAAAGCTCGTGCAGGCGGGCCAACTGGTCGAACTTGTGCCTGGTCTCCTGCTCCAGAAAGTCCTCGTGGTCAAAGTACGGCCTTGGCAAGACACCCGCGCTAACCGGCGGCGGGTAGTGCGGTCTGTATCTCTCCGTGTCCGACATCACCGACATGGAGTCTGAAAATGATTTTTCTGTCTCATCCTCTTCGCACGTCCGTTTATATCTCGTCGCGCAAGAAGCACGGCGGATAAGGATAACGGGGGACATGGCGGTGCTTGGGCAGAGCTGTCCGCTTTGATTCGAGAAAAGGACGCAATGACATGTACTAATCACATCGGACTCTCTATCTTTCTTCGAGGGAAGTGAATTGTTGTTTTCCACCGGGTGGTCCATTACGTGCCTCTAAGGAGCGAAAAGTCGGCCTTCGAGTCGACGTGCGGGACAGTTGCCGCGAAAGTTCGTTCGAACGTCCGCGATATGGAAGAAGCAATCATAGTCTGTGACAGAGTCTGAGTATATTCGAACGTTGAGAAAGACGCTCGTCAAAGCGTATTTCGCCGCCTTGGCCGAAAACTTTACAATACTTCGCCGTGAATCGAACTAATTAGTCTTTGCAAATCAAGAGAGATCAGAAACTTCCATCTCGAATCACAATCGATATACTGAAATATACGACTTTGTTACGTACTAATAAAATAAAAAAAATTCACCCAAGAGTACTAAAAAGTCGACGTATTATTTAACTAAAACAATAAAAGAAATATAGACGTAGATTCGCTCACCGGTGAAGGTGGACACCACGGTGAGATTCTCTTGGCTAAGGATCCTCAAAGGATGTTCCTCCTGATCGCTTTCGGGCAGAGGATTCTCGCCCATGCAGAGCGCGATGTCCTCCTCGGTCACCTGTAGACACGAGTCCTGCATGGGCACGGGTTCCAAGTCCTCCACCTCGACGATCTCCAGGATCTCGTCTTCGGAGGACAACGAGTGCCTGGAAGGCAGCACGATGTCCTTGTGCGACAGATTCAGGCTCTCCATAGAGACCTCTCTGCTGACTCCGTTGCTAAGCGGCTCGATGAGCGGCAACGGCGGCGGCACGACGATTTCCTCGTCGTCATCTTCGTCGTCCGGCAGATCGAGCTTCGCCTTCTCGATGCTGTCGTCCATCACCGGGCTGGCCGTCAGATCCAATCCCGAGTCCGTGTTGGACTTGACGTTAAGCAGATTCAGTTTGGCGCTCAGCTTCTCCGTGATGTCCTCGATCTCGTTCGCCTTGAGGCTGTCGCTCTCCGCGGTCGACAAGGACGTGTCGTCGTCGTCCATGCCGCCGCAGGTTTTGAAGGTCGTGAGTTCCTTGAACTGGCCGGACGACTGGCCGGAGGACATCTTGGAGGCTTCGGCTCGCGATGCGGCGTGCTTCGCCCTCTGTATTTGCGACGACTGATTCTCCACCCACTTCCTGATCATGCTCTTCTTGTGGCTGTCCATGAAGCCGTAACCGGAGGACGAGTGCTGATGAGCGTGCAGCTGCAGCGGGGCCGCGCCCGTCAGCTGCATCGGCCCGTCGATCCATGTCTCGCGCTTATGATGGGGATCCTTCAGCATGTGTCTGGCCTCGGCGACTTTCGACTTGGAGATCCTTGGTCCGTCGATCCACTGCTCGTCGGAGCCGCCGCTCGGCGCTGCCACCGGGATCTTGCTGTTCGGCGAGTCGCCGACCTTGGACGCCGAGGCGCTCGTCTTCGACGAGGAGTTCTTCCTGGCCGGGCTGGCCTTCGGCGTGGCGCTGTGCGCCGGCGAGGTCTGCTTCGACGCGGTCTGCGTCAGCGTCTTCACCGTCTTCGAGGACTTGTGCGCCGGGCTGCGCTCCTCCGGGATCTTGCTCGGTCTCTCGGCGGCGGAGCCGCGCAGCACCCTGCCCATGGCGCAGCGATTGTCGCCCGAGTTCAAGCTGGGTATGTAGACGGGCGGGTGCTCGCCGTCAGTGGCGTCGTCCGCGCTCGGCCCGACGTAGATCACCGTGTCGGCCGACAGGTCGCTCGAGCTCGGGTCGCACTCGCTGTTCTGCCGGGCCGCCTCCTCGCCGGAACTGCCGCCGCTGCCGGTGCCCTGAGTGCCACCGCCGACGAACTTGATCTTCCGCCGGCGCATCCGGTGGATCCTCGAGGCCAGCTGAACGGTGGTCAATGTCTCGGTGTAGTGCTGGGCGTTGGGGGACACGTGGGCTATCATGGCGGCGTGGCAGGTCAATGAGCCGAGGCACTCCTTGAGTAGTTGCGTGAGCTTGTGTTCCTTGTACGGCAAGTGCTTCTGGCCGTTGAAGATCGCGAGAAGAATGTTGCCCAGGCCCGAGAGGGGAATCCCGCCCGAGGACTTGCCGCGATCGGAGTTCCCCAGGTCCATCAGGTGCAGCCGACTCCTGCCACCGGCGACTGCATTGCCGAGAAGAAGAGTGCTTTTTCGGTTTCATCGCGACAGAGAGGAGGGGGCGCGAGGGAGGGAGCGGAATTCGTAAGACCGTCATCGTTCGAATTATGGTACAACGAGGGGGAAGAAGAAGAAGAAGAGGAAGAAGACTTTATTGTCGCGGCGATCCAAGCGAAGGGAAAGCGAACACGTGTGATCGATGTTACGCGCGTAAGACGCCGCGGGATGAATTCTTCCTTTTTTTTCCACGATGTCCGCTCGCGTCGTCGGAGCGAAGAGTGAACACAGCCGTCCGAGGCAAGAACGAGGCAGGGGCTCGAGATGGGATTGCATTTACCTCCACCTTTGCCGGCGACGCTGTACTGGTACACGTGCAACGTGTAGAGCATGTGCGCGTCGCCGTCTTCCCGTTGACGACCGGCGACCGCCGCGTCAAGGTAGAAAGCCGCACGTTCGGCTGTCGGCGCGCGCAGCTCGCTGTGCTGCTGCAATTGAAGGGTGCCAAACAGCGGGTCGTCTCTGAGGTACACGGCCGGCGACTGCTCCGAGTCTGGAGAGAGAAAAGATTGCCGCCGGTGTTATGCAACGTTCGTCCTGCGCTATTTATCCTCGCGACTCGCGAGTCGCGTCGCGCGGAGATGTCCCGCGACTAATATTGTACTTGGCATACTGTTCCCGGCATGTCTCTGGCGATGATGTTCCGCCGCGCGCGAATTCGTCGTCGGAGCTGCCCGGACGAATTTTTCGATCGGCCACGTCGGCAGCTGTCAGGCTGCCGTGACGCGGAATATCTCAACGACAACGTTAGCCCATTTGTTTCGTCTTTTGGAAGATTTAAAAGACGCGTCCATATACTGCTGAATTTTCTCTCCTTTAGATCCGCGTCAGGTTTGACAAAACGAAGATGAAGAAGACACGATTTGTATTTGTATTACTCTGCCCACTGGCAGAGCGAGAAATCGCAATTGCTCGTTTCCGCGATAATGGACGCATGAAATATAAACGAGTGCGGCCGCTTCTGATTCGTGCGAATGGGTTAAATTTACTCGCGAAACAAACAAGAATGTTTTACACACACCCGACGCGCGCGTTTATCCACCTTCTTTCATCTCTCATGAGAACGAACACAACACATCGCGAAAGCGATCGCCGCATGACTTGTTCATAAAGAAATGATAAAATCCAGACTGTATCTCCCCCTCCTCCTCCCCCCCACCCACCTCGGTCAAACTCAGCCAAACAGATACATCCTGCAGCACTCGCGAAATTCTATCCCGAGCTCGCATAAGCTCCCCCAATATTCTCCGTTTATTCGATTCCATTATTTCGCGGAAAAATAATATCCGCCGAGAACGGGCGAAAAGGATCGAGATGCAGGTGCGTATTACTACAGAGGCCGTAAATCGGTCGAAGCGAGGGCCCGAAGATATCCGCGGGACGCCTCGACCTGAATTACGACGTCGATAAAACGTCGGAAGATACGTCGCAGGAGATACGTACGTTTCGCTATCGCGCTTTATCACGCGTTCTATACATCGCGCGCTCTCGCAACGCTCACGGGTCCGCACACAATGCGAATAATCAACGTAATGCGAAACGTAGCTGTAAATAGTGATCAGCGTAAAAGGGCAATTACGAGGTCGGGAGGGGGATATGGGCGCGCGTGGATCAGGCGATCGGATCGGGCGAGCGCAATCTTCCTATTGTTGCTGCTTTGTCGTGTAAATAAAGCAGCTCGCGCTCGTAAAAGAATGGACGAGGAAGGAAGGTGGTTAAGAGGTTTAGTCGCCGGGATGGAGAGAGAATGCCGAAGAGCTCGCGGGGAGAACACTGCTAGCTATCAATTATTTCCTATTGAACACGCCGCGGCGATAAACGTCGCGATTGCGTGAGTCTCGTTGCGAGATATCCAAGGGAAATAAAGAAATCGCAAGAGGACACGCGGCGATTCGTGGGGAGAGTTCTAATAGCAGAGAGGAGTGACCGGAGAGTCAAACTCTTGGTTTTGCCTGAGATGAAATTTTGGTTCTGTAATACATTAATCTTGCAAATCCCATGAAATTCTGAAGACATTTAGATGACTGTTTTATCCTGATGGTCACGTCAAATGGTTGCTTTGTGCTGTTTCCTCAATTTTGAATTATCTTTATGCAGTAAAAGACTTTTGTCTTTTTATTAACTTCAATAAACAGTGTTTTAATTGCGTGACTTATTAAGCTGCACATTAAATATGCCTTGTAAACAAGTATTGAGTTATTTAATGAGGATTAACGAACGAATGTAATCGAGAGATAAGTAAGTAAGGCAACACATATTTTGCCAACGTTTCTTCATTATTAATTTGCTTTTGGACGTTGGAAATGTATATTTATGAGATATATATTTATATGCCTGACGAGACGTATAATACATGTACATCGTTATCCATACATTCAGGCGTTTCCTGCATCCTTTACCTTGCATGCAGCATCCTGCTACTCTAGTTGCGTTACAAGTATTATTTCATAGCACTGACACTCGTGTAGATACGATTTGATCGGAAAGAAGCACGTGTTAATTAACGTGACGTCACCGAGAATCCCATCAAATATTTCAAGAGCTGGCGAAACATTTTACGTAAAAGGTACAAGGCTCGATTACAAAGTACGCAACGCGTAAGACGTAGTACAAAATGGCCGGCAAGAAGGGGGTAAATTCACCCCCTATCATTAATCGTCGATTGTCGTCGCTTATCACCTTATACGAGCGCGATTATAATAATTTTCCGATTTAACCTTCACCGAGGTTACACACAAACGTACTTTCATACGCGGCGCATTTTTCCGAGTGTTAATTACGTTACTGACGAGCGATATGCATATCTCAGGCTGCGTGTGTGTCGCTTTCCCCTCTCGGTACCCATATTGGTACCCATATCGGTATATTTATTTCCCCTTGGGTCTTTCCCTCGAGTGATTAAAATCTTTCGTCGACCTTTGATATATACTTAATCAAGCTCTCGTTGGCATCGCGTTACTTTTAACACGTGTATTTTTCGTCGATTCGTATTTACGCGAGTGACTGTGTCAGTGTCAGTGCCAGTTCTTCACGACAGAGTAGCCAGAATACTAAACCCAGAAGCTGCGATGAAGGATGGAGGACATCGGGACGCGGCCGGTGATCGTCGTACACTTCAAAGCGCGTCAAATCATTGATTATAGAAAAATTGTCCGCGTTTTAACGAACGTTTGACAAAGCTATCGAGAATAAAGGAATGCCCAAGTCGACACTTAGGCCAGCATCATCATAGTTTGTTATCATTTAACTAATTTAAATAATTATGGCTTTATGAATCTCTTCTGTCATTCGTCGCTGTCTGTATTTATTTTGATTTGAGTTCGTATGAGAAATATATTGATCAAAATAATCGAATAACAAAGGCATAAATCCGTAATTAATTAATTGTATTTTCAATGAGTGTTTTCAATGAGAGATTTTACATAACTCACAACTATGAAAATCGGCGTAAATGTAAATCTCTCAAGCTGCTGATTTAAGTCCAACAATGCTCCTCGATTCTGCAATCTTGTTTGCATCTGCCAACGTTTTCTTTACACTTTTTCGTCTAGTTTTGTTATTGTATCGGATCCAACTTCAAATCCCTATTGGTAAACATACGTACCATTGTTGGACACACGACTGTTGCATTTGCTTCTACAACTTCTTCTTTATCAGCTCTTTTAAGAGCTACAAATTCCGCCGAGACCTCCAGCGCCAAAGGGACAGAGAGATTGCGAGAATAAAAATGTTTCGCTTCTCCTTCACCCGTTCACATCTCAACTTTTACAATATAAAGTTGTTCAATATTCGCTGTCATGTACTTTATTTGTTACAGAGTAAAATATGTAATCAATATTGAGAAATGTATTAATATTAATAATATAATTAACATAATTATATACAATATATTTTTTGTTGATATTAAGAATAAAGATTAAATATTAAAATAGAATATGAATACATACAATAAAATAATAAATTATTCTTGAATCGTTCTTTTTCCGAGCTCTTTCGTCAAGATCGATTTCGCATAATGTTATATCTCGAGAATCTTTGTTAACTCTTCAAGTTCGACGGAATTTGCGGAGTAATTGTAGAATTAAAGTGTTGACTCTGGTACGCAGGACCTGCTCGATACTTGTGTGCGCAACAATTGCGCAGAGGAAACGTCTCAAAACGCGATAATACACGAAACAGAGAAGCGAAAAGCAGTCGCAAACCTCGCACATGTGTTGTGATCCACGCTGCACGCGAGTCGCGCAGGAATATTTGAAACCGCGTGCTCCGCGAGGGTGGGATTGAAAACGCAGACTAAGGATTTCCTCGCGCCGTTGCACCGGAATCCCTGGCGATCTGCGAGGACTCTCGTAAAAAGTTGCGATAGCGAATTCATGCGGATTTTCGATCACGGGACGTTCGCGTTGTATGAGTAAATACGAGAGAGAGAGAGAGAGAGAGAGAGAGAGAGAGAGTTACGATTGAAAGCGAACGAAAGGGCGGTTGCGCGCACGTTTCCACCAGGACTATTTCCTATAATGTAAAGAGAGAAAGTGAAAGATTCCCCGAGGAGTCGCGGGCATGTTTTCGAGCGGATGCAAAAATTCGGTACGACAGCGAGATCTATCTAAATGCAAGTTCAAACCCGTAACTGAAAAGATTATCCGCGGCGTGGCTAGAAAGGCCGACGTAAATATTGTTCAAAGCATGACGATACTGATAATGCGCCTTCCTTTCGCGTCTCCGCGAGACACGATGGGTCCATAAAGGATCCGCACGAACGTGCTACGACAATCTAATTCGCGTAATGCTTTTTCGAGCACTCAACTTTGTCCGACCTGGCGCGGCGGACACGTTCGTCCAGCCGAAATTACCCCGTCGCCGTCGTCCTCACCAGCCGTCTATGTTTTTATATACGCGTCTATGCACTCGAGATGCGCCACGACTGATACGCTGGATATGTCGTTCGCGTTTATACGGTGTTTGGATAACCCCACCCGTCCGTAAATTGCCAATTAGCCTTTTACTGCCGGCTCGTCTCCTCCAGCACGCGCGCCCCACCTCGCACGACGTCGTAAAGGACGCAAAGGAAGAACGTTAAAGGATAAGGGCGGGCCGCGCGCGCGCGCGCGTGCGCGCGCGACGACATATGCCGCAGTTTATTTCCGAGGAGCCGTCTGCGACTTTTCACATCTGCCGCTGCCGGAAACCTTTCACCGCTCTTTTATGTCGCGCCGGGGAATTGTCCGCGAGAGAGCCTGGCGCACCGCGAGCGCGTGGCTCCTTCCGTCGACTCATCGCGCGATTGATTTCGATTATCCGATCGTAATGGGATACTAATAGATAGATACCACGGTCTGCGCGAGCTTGCTCGCTGAGCAGTTGAGCATGCGATGAGGGAACAAGGAGCGCGCGAAAGCAGGAAGCCGGGAGTATCCTCTAGACTTCCCAGAGCCCCCTTGATTTCCGTAATTTGCGAAGTACCGGAGAACCGACTTAACCGAGTAGATGTTC